GCAAGAAGCCTGGGTCAGAGACCTCCAGAGTTGCAATACACGGGAAGGCACGGCACTGAGAAGGCAACCCAATCTTGGCCCCCCAAAGCCATGGCTGTGGATATACAGCTTTCCCAGGGGCCTGAGCAAAGGGCCTCTTTCTCCCCACCAGGGCCGGGAGCTGTTCATGACTGACCGCGAGCGGCTGGCAGAGGCACGGCAGCGCGAGCTGCAGCGGCAGGAGCTCCTGATGCAGAAGCGGCTGGCCATGGAGTCCAACAAAATCCTCCAGGAGCAGCAGGAGATGGAGCGCCAGTGAGTGGCCATCCGGAGGCCCCCACCTTCCCAGACAGCCTTTGCCCCACCCATTTTGGCTCTTGTTCTCTGCTCCTGCACAGACTTCATCCCCACTTCCAGGGCTGTCCTCAGACCAAATAGGTTAAGCGGCAGGTCAGCATATCAATCCTCTGCCTCAGACCACCAGGCTCCTCCATTCTTATTGAGGACAGCCTCTGATTTCCAGACTCCAGGACTATGGGAAATGAGACTCCTACCAGCAGCACTGACATGTTGAGTACCTACCACATGGCTGATGCTGATTAGGACCTTGCTTATGTTATTTAATTTAATCCCCACACCAGCCCTGGGAGGCAGATGGTATTAACCTGTTTAATAAGTGAGGCAGCTCAGGCTCAGAGGGGTTAAGCATCTTGGGTCTAAAGTCACACATGACCAAGCTGGGATTCACATCCAGACAAGCTGACTTAAGAACCTGGCAGTCCCCAAAGGGTCACCCACCTGTGGTGCTAACCACTCCCCACCAGGTGGTTAAAATGATGGCCTGAGAAAATATATGGGGCAAGCAATTCATAAAAGAAAAACCACAGTCAAAATCCAAATGCAGAAATACTCTCAGCACTTAATAAGTATTTGAAGAAGGAAGGAAAAGGGATTTCCCCATCTCCAGCATCAAAGAACTAACCTGGAAAGCCACACTTGGTTAACAACTCCTGCCTGGGGTCTGGCTGGGCCCTCCTCTGAGAGGACCCTCTCTCAGCCCACGTCCTGCTTGTTATTAGTCACTCCATCTAAGAGTTTGGAGGGGAACACAGTGTGGCCCTCATGTGAACCTGCCAGTCATCTCCTGTGGCACAGAATATCTGCCTAGCTGTGCCAGACAAAAACCTCCCAGGAGCACAGGTTGTTGCTCAGACTTGTGTTGGACAACTTGCTCAGCATCAAAGCTGGTGTGAGCATCCTTGGAAGGGAGACTGCAGAAAACATTTAAAACTTTTTCTCAAATCAGGAATCAGCTATAAGGAATACGAAGATTTTCTTTCATAGACTCAGACATGCCTACCTGCATTTATTTTAGGAGGAGAAAGGAAATTGCCCAGAAGGCAGCAGAGGAAAATGAGAGATACCGGAAGGAGATGGAACAGTGAGTACCCTGGATTTGTGTGTGCCTGCACATGGGGTGCTCATGAGTGTGCTTCCAGGAATGTGGCCAGCCAGAGGTCACCTCTAGGCCCAGTTTACCTGGCCCTCTGTCCCCTAGTAGCTCCCCCTTTATTTGTAGCCATTCCACACTCCTAGTACAGCCCATTATACCAGGGCAATAAGAACTTAGGTGTTTACACAGAACATCAGCTCCAGGGCCGGCCTTCCTCACCATATTAGAACCATGAGGCCGCTCCTGGGCTGGTTGGGGTTCTCAGGTAGGCAGGAGCTAGGCCTGCAAAGGTTCTGACTCAAATCACAGGTGTGGGGTTTAATTTCAGGATCGTGGAAGAGGAAGAGAAGTTTAAGAAGCAGTGGGAAGAAGATTGGGGCTCCAAGGAACAGCTCCTCTTGCCTAAAACCATCACTGCCGAGGTGCACCCAGTACCCCTTCGCAAGCCAAAGTGTAGGTACCATGTGCCAGGGGAAGAGGTCCTTCTAGGACCTGGGGCTGGGGGGATGGACAGAAATGCTGGCCTCCCTCCACTAACTGCCCATGACTCTCTCAGATTCATTCCCTTTATGGTGGTGCAGCTGAGTGTGAGGGGCCATTTTTCAGGGCTTTAGGGTGGGAGGGATCTGTCTGCCTCCTTGTCTGGGGCCTGCTCCACACACAAGCTCACAGGCTCTCCCCTATAGCACACACAGGCCACTGGGCTGCTGCAGATGGGAGAGCGAGCTGTGCAAGAGGAACTGGCTCGTGTGATTGTTGTCTTAGTGTGTGGGGTGAGGTGTCCTTCTGTCTGGTTCTAGACTGGGTTGGGATGAAACCAAAAGCAAGAAAGAGGAAGGAGCTCTGGTGGCCCGAGGTTGGTGGGCAAATGAAGGAGGAGCTTGCCTGAAGTGCCTCTTTCACCTACATCTCCGCACATGGGTGGCTGTCACACCACTCCAGGGGTGGAGACAGGGAGAGGACTCTGAGTCCCCTCCCAGATGCCAATGTGGGTCTGGTGGCAGTATCATGCTGGGATCTCAATTCCCACCATCGTTTCCATCTCCTCTTCACTGGTCCATTCTTACCTTACCTCTCAATCCTGGCCTCCACCAGCTGCTACCCTGTCCCCAGGGACCCAACTCAGAGAACCAAGGCTCCTCTCTCTGTTGTGTGGTAGCCAATTGGAATTCTGTAGTGGGGTCTAGATAGCTCTGTCCCAACTTTGGATCATATCTGAGCCCTAAAGGGACACTGCATTGCCAACACAGGCCTGTTAGACTGAAGCAGGTAGCTCCCAGAATTCCTTCCTGGCAGCAGAGCACAGTGTCATCTCATGGTTCTCTCAGAAAGACAAAGCATGCTGTCATCACCTTCCCCTATGACATTCAGTACGAGCTGAGGTTGTGGCCAAAGCTGAATTCCTGGTGAATAATCCCTGTTTTAAACGGGCCGCTAATTTGCTCTTATGAGTGAAATGGGAGCTTTGAAAAGAGAGAAATTGATTGTAATTGCTTCTCATGAAAGTAATACTAGTCAATTTAGTGCCTTCCTAGAAATTAGGTCTCAGTTCACAGCAAGGTGCACCCTCTCAGGAACAGTGGAAAATAAAAGCCTTTCACTAACTAGGTATTTATTTAGCATTGTTTTAACCAAATCAAGTTTCTTGAATAAAAGGAGTAAGAACTTTGCCTTTGCTTAAGATACATGTATTCCAAGGCCATTCCACAAAGCACAGGATTGATGGCCACAGTCTGCCAGCCCCTGGGGCAGCTGCCACAGACATCCATCTCCATAAGCACCCACAATTTAATCCTAACTTGGATGTAAGTCAGGAAATGTAGTACAGCCTCTGACACTGCTCAATTCCTGTCTTTTCCTGCTGTTCCAGAACAGCTGGAATGGTCATGGCCTTGTTGGGCCAACAGAATCTCATTGGCCAGCTAGCCTCAGCCCACCCAACCTTTAACTCTGGGACCCAATTAGCCTGTAGGTGAGGCCTGACTCAGGTTTCTGTGCCTGCAAGGGGTGAACCTACATTTTTAAAAAATAGGGAAAAGTGTGGAACATCTTTAGCCTAGAACATGAAGGCCCTCAGTATAAGGATGTGGGCAGGACAGACTGCTCCCCCCACTAGCTGCTCCAGAAGGTTCTGAAAATTACATCAGCCTACCTCTCCATGATAATCCAGCAGCACCCCAACATTCTACCAAACCCTCAGAAATATGATAGCCTGTCACAGAGGTCCCTAAAGACCCTTTCTTAGCCAGAGCAGTGGTGAAGGGGTGCTGTCTTTATTAAGGACTCCAGAGCTGGAAGGGCCTTGGGAGATGAGGAAGTTTAAAAGTCATAGCTCTAGCCTTCTGTCCCTAAAGGACTTTTTTAATCACCCCCCCCATCCACAATAGACCTATGATATGAAAGTTTATTTTTTTTTTCTTACTTAACTATTCGGTAATCCTTTGTCTTCCCACTATTTTATCAAGTAGTCCTCTTGTTGGCAAAGGCATCAGTGTTCTACTGGTAAGTAATTATAATTCTAGCCCAAAGCAAAGAAACGTAACATACGGCCTTTTCACAAGCCCATGGGCAAGGAAGCTTGAAATATGACAAAGTTCATCCTTCCACAAGAAGTTTTCTTGCTGATTTTCTGCCTTCTGGACCAGGGTCCAGCTGGAAATAATTGGAATGGATGATTTCTTATTCTGTCCACATGATGTCTTCCCAACTATATATTCCCTGTTTACCTTTGGGAAGTCCCCACTCCTCAGGATCCCAGCCTCTACCTAATACCCACCCAGCTCAGACATCCCCCAGGGCACCCAGAGCCCCAGGGCAAAGGCAGTGAGAAGAAGGCAGAGGATGTATTGTCCCCCCGGCAAGTGTTTGCCCTCAAATGTGTTTAAGATTCAGATGTTCCCATCTTCCTCACCCACTTCCCAACTTTCAACTGGGCACCTTCAAAAAATGGTTCTCAGGTGTCAGGCCCCTGTTGTTCACCCATTTTACAGATAGAGAAGCTAAATGTACTAAGGTTGAAAGGACTACATGCACCATCCAGAGTGAGACGCCTTTGCTCTGGAATCCTGAGGCTTTTCCCCTGCCTTTCTTCCTTGGAAGAAAGTGGTCACAGGACCCCCAACTCCTGGGAAGCCCTCTGGCCTCTCAGCCTCCTGAGTCCTCTTGTTTCACCAACTTCCTCTTTTCCCCGGGTAGATGATCAGGGAGTAGAGCCTGAGCTCGAGTCTGCGGACGACCTGGATGGAGGCACAGAGGAGCAGGGAGAGCAGGTTTGCGCCCCCGCTTCGCTCCCTGGCCTGGCTGTGCCCTGCTTGCCCTGCCCACCTCTTCTTGAAGCAGTGCAGACACCTGACTCCAAGGGGCTGGCACATGGTGGAGGCCCCTGGGGTCTGTGAGGCTGCTCCATGCCCCAGCTTGGCCCAAGCAAAACCTTAGGACAGAACACATGGACAAACTGGTAAATCAGCAAGCACGTGCCAGTGCAACTGAACTGCCGGTGCAAATATTTAAATACTACCCAAGTTCAAGTGCCCTCTCTGCTCTCTAGCCTCTTCTCATTCCCAGATCCAGCAACTAAGGAGGTAGTGCCTAGTCCAGCAGGGGGCTTTCAACAGCCTATTCCAGCTCTATTCCAGGTGGTTAAAGGTGGGCAATTATTTAAGCCTTTATCTCAGCCCCTAAGAGCTCAGGTTTGGGGGCTGCCTTTTCATGCTGTCACCTGGGGAAGAAAGAGGCTGCACCCTGCTTATATGGCTTGGATGGGGAATCTGCTTTTCTGGGGGCACATCTTCTGCCCATTGCTGCTGGAGCCAGCCTTTCAGATTGACCCAGCCACTGCCTCTCTTGCAATGCTGAAGGCAGAGGACTGGCCTCCCTGTGAGACAACACAGTTTTGTTCTGTCTGATTGCAGTTCTAGGCAGAGACCCAGGCTCTCTTTTGTCTTGAGATGTTTTTTTGGATGGAGAACCAAGCATCAGTTAGAGAGGGCCTTTTCTCTTTCAACGGGGTTTTGTTTGGAGATGATATCTGTGATTTGGAAAAGTTCATCCTTCCACAAGAAGTTTTCTTGCTGATTTTCTGGCACTGACTTCTGGAGTCAGTGTCTGAGAGGGAGGGGGGCTTTTCTCAGGTGGTCTTGGGCCTGCTTTGTCCCAGGTGAGGCCAGGTAAGTAGAAAGATGGACAGAGGGTGTGATTTTGCCGTTGGATCTGCCAACGCTGCCTTTCATCCCCCAAAACCATGCATTCCTTGGAAACCCAACTCTCACCTGCTGCTTATGGATGCTCTGGCCCAGTGGAAACACGTCTCACCATTTTGTTCTCTGTGTTCTTATAGCTTTTGGGTGGTTTTACCGTTACGATGGCAAATTCCCAACCATCCGGAAGGTAGGACAGGACTGGGTGCCGTGCTGGTTTGCTCCTCAGTTTGCAGTGGGGTTTGGACTTTAAAGTTTTTCTTTCCCTATCAGTTCTGAACAGTGCCATCCACCCATTCCCTTGGAGGGCTAACCCTGCCTGCATCTCTGTCAGGGTGACACCAAATGACAGAGGCATCATGAGGGGCAGAGGCATCATGAGGGACAGGTATACCTGTCATGAGACTTGACCAAGGACCATCAGACTCTGTGTGGGTCTATACCAATTCCCAGGAGCACAGGGCAGGGCCAGGAGACTTCTGCTTTGTTCTGACAGAACCAGAAGCCATGACCAGGAATCTGGGATCAGAGTGAATTACCAGGGTAGGTGTACACAGAGCCACTTTTCCAGGTTCAGACTGGCTACCCACGTAGCCTTGGGTTGGACAGGAAGCTGCACCCATCACAATTCTCTCCTAGAACTATCTCTGCATTTACCCAGGATTATACATTTTTTCCCCAGTTGCTAGGGCTGTTAATTTTCTGTTTAAATCTTATTATAGTATCTGCAGGCCCCATAAAATTTTCCTGTCCTTTGTCTTTCTAAATCACTTTGGCATTTGATTATATAAATGCCGCTGTTAATAACTGTAGATTGGACATTCAAGATGGCTTGGTATTTGGAAATCAGCCTATTAACATAAATCTGAGTGAGCTAAATTGGATGTTACCAGCTTTCTCTGGCAAAAAGTCAATACTCCAGAAACCAAAGCACTGGCAGCTAGGTGACTGATGCTCTGCAACTTCTCCCTTCCTGTAAAATGGGGATATCAGATGTGCCAGGAAAATCTACCCGCTTTCTCCAACACATTCCCATTAAAATTATAGATAGCAATATTCTGGCTGACACAAGTTATGTGTTCACCCAGAAGCCCAGATGATGATATGTATAGGAGTGAGTAAACTTTGTACAGAGCTCCCTGGAGATGTCGTCTCATACTACCATGGTCCTTAGTCTCATAAAATTATCTTCTTTATTTTTCAGCCTGACTCCAGGGCTTAGGTTTCTAATCTTCTCTCCATACTGTCTCTATTAGAACTCAATTAGAGAGGGCAACACACATAC